GTTCTTATTTTATATTCTAGCTTGTCAATATCTGTAATTTGAGTTCCTAATTTGTACGAAACTATAGAGTTAGTATTTTGACATAACAATCATCTGATTTGAGCCAGTGTTGCATTCAACATACCATGTGACACACAAAAATTGATGTTTTAACTGTGGTTTTTTAATATTTACTTTTAAATTACGAAATTTGTATTATAATCTACAGTTTGATACCAAATTTATTGACATAAATTAATGAAATAGTAGTTTATTAAAATTTTGCATGCAAGTCAACAAACATGATGATAAGGCTTTTTACACGTGACCCGTCTGGGGAGAATTAATAGCCAAATGAAATAAAACACGTTTCTTTTTGATACTATGTGGTAAATAATTCTGGCTGTTTTGATAATTTCTGAAAAAACTGGAATGGGGGGGGGCTTGTTACTTGTAGAATAGCTTTTTGAACATCAACCTTACACGTGCCATACCTAGTTTAATGTGAAAGCCCACTAAATAGACAATTCCCTTCAATATTTTGAAAAATACTAAAATAAATTTGACAAGATTTCAAATTGGAAGAAAATACATTTAATATATTCAATATATATAGTAATATATACACAAACACACACATAATAATAGTCAAAATGCAGGTTTAACCAACTAAACCTTATATGTACGAGTGAAGTCAAAATGCACGTCAACCATTTAGTTACATTCAATATTTAAGCAAGCTATTATCAATGTAATCAATAAACTCAACATCAAAACATAGAAAATACATCAAATTATAATATTATATACGATTTCACTTCTTAATTCAAAGGAAAAATACCCAGAAAAAAATTTCTAAATACTCACTCTTGCATATCATGACACATTCACATAAAAATTTATATTTTATTACCTCAGCCATAAAGCCAATTAAAAACTCAAACTTCACATACTCCCACCTTCTTGATTTGCTGAGATACCACTATGTTTAGCAAGCTTACCAGATAAGCCCCTCCCATCCCTTCATTCTTTTAAAGACACTTATTTACTCACATCTGTCTTAAGTACATGTTTATATCCAATAAAAAAAAAGCAGATACTGAATTACATTAAATTGCCAAATTAAAATGATTGCTCCAAAAAGAAATTAATTTAAACTATTTATACCTTAGTTGAAAAGCCAGATAAATTATAGTAGTTTTGTGATATCCTATTCCAGCGAGAAATTTTGTTTTCTAAAATGTGTATTTAGAATTTAGAAAAATTAATTTGTGTTTGCCTCAGTTTGAGAGAATCAACGATGCTTTATAGCTTGAAGGTTAAAAACCTCACCTTGTTTCCCAAGTACAAGTACATTAATAATTTCATAATGTCATAAGTACTAAAAATTAGTTATTATGTATATTTTTTAGTCATTGTTGTGTTTCAACAAAAATAAAGCATTTATGAGTAAATAGTAACAATATATATATATATATATATATATTTACACACACACACGTGTACAGGTAATATATGGTAATTGAAATGTCATTGTATTTGGTAAAATGGTACACTAAGTTAGATTTGTACTTTTTTGACCAGTTTTACTACATAATTATAAGTTTGTCTGCTGAACACACATTATCCTTCTACCTGGCTGCAAAATTCACATCTCACAACCCTTTCTTTACAACCTTGTTAAGAACATATACCAATAAACTTAGCATTCATATTTTAATATTATATAAACTTTAATTTTTTACTTTCAAAAGGAAATGTTTAATATGCAATCTTCACTTCTCTGTATCATGACACGTCTGCATGTCACATCACCCATTTTAGATTTTTTTTGTCTTACCCTTTGATCTTCCAAATTTTGCACAAATTACTTATACTACAGGTAATACTGAGCCTTAACATAAATTTTCCCACAGTCTTACTGCTTCACTGACATATACCTAAGAGCTTTATGTGTTACGGTTATTGCATATGAAATTAAATTCACTACAATAATGAAAGACTTTGAGGACTATATACAATCAAGAGAGTTGGTCAAATGGGAAATAAAAAACTATATGAGAAAAGGATGAAAATGTAAAAATATATAGTAAGAATTTCTTCATATAAATTAAGGATAAGCAAAATGTTAGGATGGGTGTAGGGCCTAAGAAGCATGACATCAAAAAGCTATTATCTAACGATTGTGGGAAGTCTAGATTATGATTCGTTGTTTTTTTTCCATTTTTACTAATCAAGATTGAAGCAATATTTCTGAACCTGAACAGTTGCTACATGGAAACAACATTGAACAAGATGATCACTTTAATTTTGAGCTTGTTAAGAAAACTGGAAAATTTAAAGAATGATTAAGCACCTAGCAAGTTGGGTAAATAAATGGCAGACAACTTTTAATTATATTAAATGCAAGGTAATACATATCAGATAAAACAATTTAAGTTATAAATATATTTTTATGGGAATATACTTAACAGTGTTATGGAAGATCTTGGTGTTCTGACTGATCAATCTCTTAAGCCATCCAAGCAATGTGCTGTTACTAGTAACAGAGCAAATAGGATTTTAGGTTGTATCTACAGAAATACTGAATACAAATCTAAATAGGTTATAATGTCATTGTATAGGTTACTGGTGAGGCCACAACTGAAGTATTACGTTCAGTCTTGTGCTGTTTACCTGAGAATGGATACTGAATTATTGGAAATAGTTCAGACAAAGACTACTAAAATATGATACCTGATATGGAAAAGTTATCATATGAGGATAGGTTAAGATCTCTGAACTTGTTTTCCCTAAAAACAAGAAGAGCTAGAGAAGATCTGATTGAATTAAACTAAACCCTAAAAGAAAAGAACCCCCCAAAGCCATCCCTTATCATTCAAATATTTATCAAGCTTTCCAACATCTGAAGGCAACCTGTTTTAGAGACAAACCACCCTGTTAGAAAAATAAAGCTGTCTTAGCTGAAGATAACTTCTTCTCTAGTCTTACCATTCTCACTGTTAAGTATGAAAAAAGATGATGCACCACCTATCATGCAAACTGACTCAGTAAATTCTCAGACAAATCTTTAGCAGAATGACTTCCTTAAAAAATCCGATTTTTCTATACAACATACTTTTATCGTTCACTAAAAGGCTGAAAAAATTTTGTTAAGGCACACGAAGTAATTTCGAAATTATAATAATCTATAATTATTCAGTATGAGCTAGATCCATTGAATTTGAACTGAGTTTTAATACTACACCAAAGCTAATTAGAAAATGACAGTTATATTTTATTTAACAAAACCAAAGTTACTACAGTACATGATATTAATAAGCTAAGAAGACAAATTAGATTTCGAGGATAAATTCGCCAATTTACAATCCTCAGTAAGAGTAATGTTACTGTTAGTGTTAATCAGTATTATTAACCTAACGGTTATGCGACCTTTCAAAATTAGATACCATTTTAACGGTCAATATTCATCAGCGTCACTCGGCTTGTTAACGGAGTAACAGTAACACCACCGTACTAGTAGTACCAACGTTAGTAATACTAATAGTACTATGACTTAGTAAAGAATACATAACGCAGAAGGCTTAGCTTAAACTAATGCTCCCATAAATTTATACAAATTTACAGATTTTCTTAACATTTAACTACAAACGTAATTCAGATTTATTTCTTCCTCTAAATAAAATAAATTCACCAATCAAAATAACAACAAAATCGCGTTTTTATTACAACAAGTTACTTACAGTTTCACGCGAAAACAGTGAGCTTCGATACAATTCCAACTATAGACGCTAACAACGGCTCTTTGCAGTCTTGCTTTGTACGCCGGTTATTGGGATGCCACCCTTCCCGCCAAAGAACGATTGGTTATTCCTCTCGAGAAACCCCGATATTATTAATTTGCAGTATATTCAATCAATTTCTTCGTTATGATATTTGAACAATATTATATGGTATGTGAACAACTTTTATTAATTACTTTTTTAAATTATAGGACCAATTAGCGTGGTCACGTGATGCACGACTAGCTTTTCATTGGTCTATACTCAATCCTACATAAACAGAGTGATAATCGGTCTAATTCAATCGTTTTTGCTATCAGTTGATACCACTCCCGCGTTAGTGATGAGAGACGATTCAAAAAAAATTTGAAAATGATTTTCGAATATCTTTCCAGAATTTTATTTTTATTCTGTTTGTAATATTAATTTGCTATGTTTAGTGGTACTACAAGTTATTATTTGCATTCAGGAGCCGCGTCTAAAGTTTATCTAGAGTTATACATGACGAATAATACAGCCTCAGACTGCGTGATATTTTGACATACTGTACGCCTTTTTTTCAAGTGTTAAACTACAAATTGAATTAAAAGTTGCAATATTTGTTGCATTGGAAATAAACATGTGTAATGTTTTAACTATAAATGAGCTATTCTTTTATTAAAGAAATATATATATCTATGTTACCTACGATTACGTTTTTTTTAATACTTTTATGATATCCGATTTGATTGGGTTCCACAGTGGCTCAGCATAAGTCTGGGGTTTAATTTGTTACGTCTCCGTTTGTTAATTGATTATTCCGT